AAGGAATAAAATTTCTCCCTTCTGCTGCCTCTGACTCCCAACTCGGGCAAACACTGTTTAGTGGCAGGTTCCAGCTTCAGTCACGAGGCCAGGGGTTTGGGTGAGGACAGAGGGTGCCGCTTCCCTGCGCTTCCGGAAAGGGGAGGGCGGTTCAGGTGAGCTTGGGGGGGGGGGAGGGGGCTCCCTGACTGGCTGATGGCCTGAAGGAGGAGGGCGTTCATAGGTCTTGTAACATCTCCAAATGAGGAAAGCAAGGAAAGAGGCATGTCGGAAGCAGCATATTAGTCACTTCACAGAGCTTGAATACGCGACCTGGAACTGTAACCTCACGGCTGGACGGCCAGGATGCCCTCACCAGTTGGCTGCCCCTGAAGACAGCGGGGAGATCGCAAGGCTGGCGTGGCGTGGCTGGGGCAGCAGGTGAGGGGGGAGTAAGGGGGTGGACCAGATGCAGCCAGTAGAAGGCTCTCTGGGCGGTTCCCCTTACTCCAGCCAGTGGTCAAGCATGGAGTGGATCACATGGCCAAGCAAGCAAGCAAGCCAGCCGTTTCTGAATGGCTCTTGACTGAGGCCGGGCCCGGCAGAGCGGCTGAGCCCTTTCCTGGCCCTGTAGGCAACGTTGGCCTCTCCTGTGGGGCTGGCAGTGCTTGCTTGCTCTGTGTGCATGTTCCATCAGCCCTGCTGCCGGCCTTCAGTGGCACGTGAGACCGGGCAGGCTGCCACTTTTCTCCCCTGGAAGAAGGCAGGGAGAGCAGAGCAGGAAGTAGTAGAGTCACACACTGAAGGGGTGTGGTGCTTCAGACCCCCGGAGGGCGCCTGCTGCCGCCGCCGCTGCCGCTGCTACTGGGTGCCAGAAGAACCAGCCTGGCTCTTTGTGCTGGTTTTGGGGATGTCCCTGGCGCAGGAAAGCAGAGGGGTGGCAAACAGGGCGAAGGGCTGCAGGACGGACACCCCGTTGTCTTTTGAGACAGGCTGAACCGTGGCCCCTTGCTCCGCACTCTGGAAGTGCCACGGGGGGGGGGGTGCCAGTCGTCCTGCTGCTGTGTGGTGTCACGGAGCTTTATAGAACAGGGCCATCCTCTTCCTTGGGGCAGCAAAAGGCCCCTTTCTGCTTGGGTCCTCCCCAGCGGAGTGGCTGTGCCCCTGATGTCTGCCTCCCAAGCAGAGAGAGGGCATGACTGGAGGAGGAGGAGGAGGAGGAGGAGGAGGAAGGTGTGAGCTGGGCGGGTGGTGGGCAGCACAGGGTGGCTTCTCCCAGCCTTTGCCACCGCTGGGCTTGCCTGCCTTCTCTCCCGCACGGGGGGGGAGCTGGGGGAGGGAGAAAGAAGCAACCGCAGCATTTCCTCTGCCTCCTCCCGGTCAGTCGGTCGCTTTGGATTGTCTGCTTTCTCTCCCGGAGGGACGGGTGACTGCAGAAGGAGGGAGAGAGTGGCACAGGCGCCCGTGCCGTGTCCTTTCTGGCTTCCAGGCTGGGCCCTGCCGCCGCCCACCTTCTTTCCTCCCGGAGTGGCCCTGCGTGCCCATCCTGCGCTGCCTCTTCTCCCCTCACACCCACTGGGGCTGGTGGGGATTTGTTTACCTTCTCTGGTTCTCCGGTTGGGTGGCTCTTTCAGCCCATCCCCATGAAAAAAGAAACCCTGACCGATTTCTCTGCAAGCCTTGAAGGCTGCGGGAGAAGGGCCGTTGTTTGCACCTGGCCCCGTTGTCTGAGGTTTTTCATTTGCACTGGGCGGGGGTGGGTAGGGGTGCTGGTTCAGAATTAGCTGCCTGATTCTTGGGGGGGGGGCATTTCCGCAGCCAATTTGTGCCTGGGACCTTTTGAGCGCCTCCCGTGTTGTCTGCAGCTATGCGTAGGGCTCACTGGCCTGCCGGCCTCCCTGTGGCTGTGGAGCAGCCCTCTCCACTTCTGGGGAGGCCAAGGCTTACTCCCCGGCAGACGGACATGGCTGGCTGTTCGGCATGATGGATGGCTGGGGGTTCCGCTGGGGCGGGGCGGGCAGGAGAGGGAGGGCTCGCTTCTGCCCGGATCTTCTCTGCTCTCGCAGGGGGCAGCTTGAACTCGCTTCTCCTAGGCAATGTCTGTCCCTCAGCCTGGGCCCCTGGGGGCCACTCGCAAGAGCCTGCATGGGAGAGCTGCACCTCATGCACGCCTGCCCTTGGCTCATGCACAGGCCGGCACTGCGGAGACCTGCAGGGCGGAGGCTGGGGCTGAAGGGGCCCTCCCTCCCTCCCTCCCGCAGTGTTTGTCCTCCGGTGTGGGCACAGCAGCAGGAGCAGTAGCAGCAGCAGCAGCTGCCCTGTTGATCCCTTAAGAGGTCCACCATGGCTTGCGGGTTATCCATGGACATGGCCCAACAGACCCCCCGGCTAAGTCTCTGAAGTGGTTGAGGTAACTGGAGGGTCAAGCTGTGGCTCTGAGAGCTCTGCTGACAGTTCCTGGGGTGGGGTGGGGGTTCCTAGGAGAGAGAGAGAGAGAGAGAGAGAGAGAGAGAGAGAGAGA